CCCTTTGTGTCTCTCTGGCAAGATGTTCTGCTCCTGAATCAGCTGGGTGGGTCTTGCCTCTAGCCTCTTTGCAGGGTGTTCTGCTGAAGGGTTCCGTGCTGGGCTTGCATGCAGCCTGGGTCAAATGAGGATTCCCGGACCCCCCGGTCGTCTCACTCACTCGCCGGACCTGCGCTCTGGGTCTGTTCGGGATCCCGCGGCCCTGGGTCGTCTAACTCACTCGCCAGGCCTGCACTCTGGGTCTGTTCAGGATCCCGCGGCCTGGGTCCTCTCACTCACTCCCCGGGCCTGCGCTCTGGGTCTGTTCAGGATCGCAAATATGAATTTTTACATGACAATTTTATATGCTTTTTTAATTGACATTACATCATAGATTGCTTCCTAAATCATAAAGAATTATTTTACAGGCATACTAATGGCTGAAGAAAATCTCACAGATGAGGTGTCCTTATTGTTTGACAATTTGTGGGGGTTGGTTGTGGTGCATACATGCAGATAACCAATGACCTGTGGAGGACAAGAGGGGTAGTGAATCGGAGTGCTCTGAGGAGTGTGGTGGCAGGAATGCTGAGTCTGCTGCCGAGGGGGATGTGGGAGCCTTCGTGAATGTAACCCACTAAATGTTCCCAGCTGTTGCACCCTGGACAAAGTGAAGGGGGACCGAGTACTGATAGCAAGTAGCACGAAAAAGAGATGTTTGTGTGGGTAAAACCTTCTGTGAGAGGAAACAAAATCTTCCAAGCAGCCACAGGATTCCTGGTGTGTTTGTGAGAGGCCAGAGGGCCGGATGACGGAGGCGAGGGGGCGTAGACATAGACATCCCTCGGTGTCTGCGGGGCACGGGCTGACGGCAGCTTTCTCTGTTGCTTTGCCCCGTGACTTCTGGAGCCATGTGAGGGCTGACAGAGCAGTGACCTGACCGCAGGGACCGTGATGCCTGGGATAGATCAGGGAGACCACTTCGAGTTATGGCCAAAATTCAGATGAGCGATGGGGGGGCCTGGATCATTTCCATCACCCCCTAAAATCAAAAAGGGGTGCATTTTAAAGCAGAAGAGTCATGCCCCAATGCAAGAGATGCCGGCAAGATGTTGGCCTGCAGCCTAGTTGTTCTAGGAAATACTCAACACCAGCTGCCTGTGGGGACCTCTCTTAAGTGCTAGGCGCAAGAACAACCTGACTTCAGTCTTTTGGAAGCTAACAATATGTGGGACAAATGAGACTGCCTAAATAAAGAAACAGTCACACCGAATACAGCCCCAGCAGCAGTGCTGTCATCCCTGTATGGTTAGGGCAGGAGCACTGGCCAAAAGCTGTTTTCCATGGGCTGCAGAGAGAGGCACCAGGAGGTACGATGTGAAGTCGAATGTGGTTGTCACAATCAAAGCAATAGAAATGATACAAAATTTCCAAATGAGGTGATAGGAAATTAACAATGATTATTATGTTGCATATTATTATCTTCGAAGTAGTTGTTCAGGCTATGAGATACAGGCATGCAAAACTGATCCAACAATTTAAGCGCTGTTTCTTTCAATTAACTAATAGAAATCAGTACAATCATCTTAGCTATCCTGTGTGTGTGTGTGTGTGTGTGTGTGTGTGTGTGTGTTAATTTCTCCCTTCCTTCCTTTCTCCTTTCTCCCACCCCAGTTGTTCTTTCCTCTTGAGCAGTTTCTTTCCCTTTCACAATATCTATTGTCCCTTCTGGATCTTATTTAACTTATCATATTTTGATGCTATGTGTTATCACTGAAATACCCCGCTACCCCGCTAGAGAACCAGTGGTGAGAAACCTAGCATAAGCGCTGGAAAGTGTGACCTGTAATCCAGTAGGATCAACAGCATTGCCACCTCAGTCCCTACCGAACCCCACCCAGAAAATGCGCATTTTGTTTCCCCCCATCACACCACTGCCTCCAGCTTTCTCGTGTACTTAAATCCTCTCTACTCATTCTCTTTTCTCTTTATCTCCCGCTGTACAGAAGGTTCGGGAACCCAGGATGGGCCCCTCAAAACTGCACGTGCTCTTCTGCCTCTCCAGCTGCCTAGTGGTGGTCCATGCTTTTGACTGGCATGACCTAGATCCTGTCGCTTATATGCAGTCATCAGGTAAGAGACACCTAGCTCCAGGGCTTGAACTGTCACCAACTCCAGGCGACCTCGGCAAGGATGTATGTTTGGGCGTCTCTATGCAAGTCCTATTAAGAGCTATTGGTGGGGGGCAGGGAGACAGCTCAGTGGCATAAGTGCCTCACTGACAAGGTCCCGAGTTCAATCTCCAGTACCAAATTACATAAAAAAGAAAGAAATATTGATGTCACCCTCAGGTCAGAACAGGTGAGGCAAGAGGCAAGGGTCTCAGACCCTTGAACCGCAGGCAGGCCTAGTACTGGTTCTGAGTAGAGGGTGATATGAAGAGATAGAAATCAGGACCCAAAAGGAGATGATCTTTCCTGCCTAAGAAGTAGGGACAAGGGGGCCCTTGGAGCTCCTAGCAGAGTAGACGTGGTCACTTGCTTTCTTACCTTGGGGTAAGGAGAGAAGAAAGAGAGGGGACTTCGATAAGCCAGGAGGAATAGCCAGAGCAGGACACCTCTTGTCCCTATGTGTCACCAAAAGATCTATCACAAAGAGCTTGCCCTGTAGCTCATGAGGCCCTGCTCATCCCAGCCAAGGTGTGTGTTCTCCTCAGCCAGCCTCCTTTGGACAGCGAGAAGTGTGAAGGTCTCACCCTGTTACAGGCAGTCTGTGCATGGCTTAGGCCAAATCACCAGATCTGGTTGTTCAGGTCTGACAGTTGACAACTTTTCACAAAGTCTTACATAGCATGGTGCTGTCAAGATAAGCTTTGCCCTACATCATGATCCAGGAAAGGCATGCCAAGTAGGAGAGGGGCTGCCTTTTTGTGCACCTCAATGTCTGCAAATCTGATCATTCTTTAGCCCTTACCAACAGCTTTGGGAGTCAGGGATGTGCAGGTGCCATGACCAAGACCTACAGCTGAGGAGTCTGGAGCCTCATAAAGTTAGATTCATGTGACCCATAGATTATAAACACGTAACATTTTACCCACGATAGGTAAATTATCAACTAGGTAATAGTTTGCACCATGCACTTGTTATTGGTTCAGGCTGAGCATGTCCAGACATGTCTACCGTCCCTTCATGTTTAAAAATCACAGGGCTGGAAGAAAGTTGAGGAGAGGGGTATTGATTTATTAATCTAGGTAGTTGTAGTCTAATACCCTACTCATTCTAAATGCTTAAAAGGAATGCACACATCTTTTAAAAAATTATTATAATAGTGGGCTGAGGAGATAGCTTGGCAGCGTAAGTGCCTACCCGGCAAGCACAATGACTCGGGTTTGATCCCTGGTACCACATGCCATACGCCACCCATGCTGGCCCTGGAACCCCAGGCATGCCATGCCAGCCCCAGAACCCAGTGTGGTGGCGTACAACTATAATCCCAGCAACAGGGAGGCTGAGACAGGAGGATCACTAGTAGTCCAAACTGTATAGTAAGACTCTGTATCAAAAAAATTACTATACTAGTTTATTAACTTAAAGAGTCAAACAATTGATGATTCTTTATAAGTTATTACTAACTGAATACCTAGAAAATATAACAGTAGAGGTAAAAGCGTTTTGAATATAGAGTTTATGACAAAAGAGATGTCGGTTGCTAATGGAGGACATAAAGCCATTGAAGAGAACATCATTGTCACAACATGTCCATGACTCACCTGAGGACTGAGTTTAAGGAATTTTGGATGAAGGAACACCACCAAATCAATACTAGGATTAGTAGCACAGCCTAGGTCCCAAAGGTCCTCTTCAAGATGGTTCCTGATGGATGACAGGAGGAAGCAGGAACTGGGGCCCACAACTGGTGACTGACCACTGCTGCATCTTCTCTGCAGCCTCCCAGGCCCTGAGAAGCCATGGGACTTTGTGGACTCCTCCTGAAGCATGGCTCAGCTCCTTACCTCCTGAAACCTTCCCAGGGGCCACATGTCCTGTAGTAGCCTTGACCTGAATGCTAGATGTGGAAGCATCTCAGAGATGACGGCTTGGGGAATACAAAGGACATACTCAGGTTGTTGGAAAGGATCCCAGGGTCTCGGTGGGGTTGAGGTCTGATCAGGGGAGAGGTCCACCTCTGCAGTGCTGCCTTTCTGTGGCTCTTGAGAAAGTTCTAGAAGGAATGTGTCCAGAGCCACTGTGGACCACCTAGGATCCCCACTGAGCCATAGGAGCCTGCAAGCTCTCACCTGTTCCAGCTGTAGCTCAGCTCCCTGTAGACAGGCTCAGCACCTCAGAGGGCCTGGTGGCAGTCATTCAGGCAGCTGCCACCTCCCTGCTGTCCTCTGGACATGACCTGTCCCTGCTGTGCCGTGAACATGCCTCCATGGTCTCCCCTGCAGAGGAAGAGCCTCTGCAATCCTAAATGGTCCCAAACTGTTCAACTGCCAGGAAAGGTCGGAAGCCAAATCCCTGAAGAAATGCCATGAATCTTGAACTTGCTGTATGGGGAAATGGATGTTCTCATTCAGATCTGCTTAGATCCTTGAACTCCACGTCCTACATATAAGTTTGGCTATCTAAGAACCTAGCTCTGGGGAAGGGGCAGTGAGCCATGGGTTAAAGACATGTCACAGACTGGCTGTGACAGGGCGAGACCTCCATGCTCCTCGCTGCCCAGAGAAGCCTGGGGCAGGGGCACAGCACCTCACCTGGGATGAGCAGGGCCTCACAGGGCTACAGTGTAGCTGCCTCATGCATGCCATGTCTGGTGCTGGTGCCTGACCCTCACGTCACTTAACCCTTTCGGCTATCAGGCTGGCTGATGCAGTGTTTTCCTTGCAGGCCACAGCCTGTGGCTCAGCCCCTGCCTCCCCAGAACCACCCTGTTACTGACTCTGTGCTGCTATCCTCTGCAGCAGCCAGATGGCCTGCTGTCTGAGCACCTTGATGTTTAAACTTTTTTTCCCCCATAATTTTATTGATAAATAGCAATGACACAGTTTCAAACCAAATTGGTAGGACAGTTTCAATAATCAACACATTGCATACATTCTTCCAAGTGGTTAATTGCTGTACAAGATGTGGACATGATATCTTATTTACAAACACCATTAGAACAAATCCCTCTATTCATTAAGAGAATGTAACTATATATCTATCCTAGCCACTTTGACTACACAGATACAAAATGGACATTCATCTGTATCCCCTTTTTTTGGTTAAGTTCCATCATTTAAATATTAAAGGTGTGTAAACTCAGCAAAATATTCTAAAAGAGATCAGTAGTCCATAATAGTATTGGGTCTCCGCTTCACTGCTATAGGGGACTCAGGTCAACAATTTCTGATGCTTAAACTTTAATGAGATTTTGCTGGTCTATCTCTGGTTGTGTAGCTGGGGAAGGAGATACCTGAAAGCTACATTTTTAAGCTCCACTGGGCCAGTGAGGCTGGCTGTGGGCCCTGCTGAGTGCTAAGCAGGCCTTCTGGGATGCAGGCAGAGGGGTGAAAGAAGAGCTCTAGGCTATGGGCATCAGCACATTTGGGTCTGTCTTTTGGCACAGGGACTCGGGACTTAGCTTGGGCACTCACGAGCAGCCTTGTGTTTCAACCCTAAACACCACAGGAAGGAGCCACATTCATGCCGGGACTCATAGGACATATACTGAGAGGGCACGTGTAGATTAATGCCTCCTACAAACCCCTCTTAGAAGCAAATGCGGTTTTCAGGAGCCATTGGAGAATTTTAACCATCGATGAACACTGAAAAAGGATGTACAAAGGGCGGTACAGGGCTACAGGATAAATCCTGAGAGTACTTGGCTGACCTTATCAGATACAAAAGTTACATTTCTTGTTATATAGGTCTTGCTATATCTTGGTCTTAACCATCCAGCAGAAAAGTATAAAAACGCAGTATATAAAGTAAAGCCATATTAATATGATGAGCTGTAAAAGGCTCAAGTCAATAACTTCTGAGGATAACCCACTAATATTATAGGCTGCTAGCCAGTGTTAGATTGTTTAGTTGAATTCAAACACCTATAGTATTTAGATGCCAATAGAATATTCACCTCTGACAGGACAAAAAAAAGGATACAAAGGAAAGATCATTTTGTATTTATATGTACAAAATAGTTAGGATAGGTTTACAGCTACTTTCGTTTAATTCAATGACAAGAAAGAGGTGTAGTAACAGTGTTTGGACAGAATATCCTGTCTGCTTCTTGTGCTATGGATAACCGCTAAGAAGATAACAATGTACAATGTATTGATTATCAAAACTGTCCTATTAATCAGCTGTGAGAAAAATAGATAAATTTATCTTAAATTTAAAAAAATTGATGAGATTCGTGCACTGAGCCCCTCTAGGAGCTGGGCAGAGGAAGTATTGGAAGGGGCTGGGTCTGAGTGCACAGGACAACTAAAGAGTAGCTGCCTGGTTAAGAGACACATGAGGCACACAGGAGCCAGCTGAGCTAGGAGTCAGACACACATTGGGAAGATGATGCAAAATTATAAACAGTTGTTAGAAATGAAAACTTGGCTGGACGTAAGGGGTTGGTGAAAAAGTGGTAGGAAAGCAGGATGGGTCCCAAGCTTCTGGCTTGAGATGTGTGAGACAGAATTCTGGAGTTGTGGGCTGTGTGGTTGGAGAGCAAGGACAGGGAGGTGAGATGATCATTAGTTTCATTTGGGGACAATTGAGATCATTGGCTTCGAGGCCACTAAGGCAAAGGCACAGGATGGAAATGCCTAGTGAGACGCTGTGAGCAGAAATCTGAAATGTGAGATAAAGTTCATGTTTAGAAAAATCAGACCTGGAGAGTCGCCTTGAATGTGCTCCAGACAGAGTGGAAGGTGAGACGGGGCTCTCGGGATTCGGAGCTGGTGCTGCAAGGCATCCTGGGAGATGGGCTGTGTCTACCTAGATCTTTTTATCCTCCAAACCGCTATCCAGTGCACAGCACAGAGCAGATCGTCCATTAGGTCAGAACTGCAAGAGGCTGGAACTTGTGGGCCTTAGCTTGACTCCCCTGCATGAGTCCATGCAGAATGAATCTGGGGGGTGCAGGATGACAAATGAGGCAACGCTGACCTGTTTTTCAGCATGGATCCAAGGAATGCAGTTGCTGCTGCCCACTGGCAGCTTCGGCCATACAAAAATCCCCAAGGGAAGCGGGCCTTACTCCGTGGGCTGCACAGACCTGATGTTTGGTTACACTAACCAGGTACTGTTTTGATTTGTTCGAGTTATCTTTATTCCCTAACACTGATTTACTCTGGGGCTAAAACTTGACCTTACACTCCCCTAAGAATAACCCACTTTGCATCTCTATTGCTTCATTCTCTGATTCTCTGCTGTCATCTGATTGGTCTATGACCTCTTCTTATTGTCCTCTTTTGTGGATGAAGCATGCTTTCTTTATACTCAAAGACTATTTTCTTTCTCCTTCAATTCTATATTCAATTGTCACAGCAACTTAAAAAGTCTGTAAATATCTATCTATCTATCTATCTATCTATCAATCATGTATTTGGTACAGGATCTCACTATGCAGCTCAGACTCATAGTGATCCTCCTGTTTTCAGCCTCCCCAGCACTGGGATTACAGGTGTGTAATCTTGTGCCAGTCTTAGTGGCAGCTCAGTGTGCCCAGGGTTGGGGCCAGCGCAGCATGTGTTGCCAGGGATCAAATCCTTGCCCCTGCACTTGCCTAAGCAGGCACTTACTCTCCTGTGCTATCTTGCCGGCCCCTTGTGAACATCTCAATGAATGGTAGAGGTATTCGAACCCTACTAAGAAAATACGCAAAATATCTGTTGGAATATATTTGAAGAGGAACTGTACTAAAAACACATTCCTTTGCTTCATCAACAGAGTACCTTCTTGCGCTTGTATTATCCATCACAAGACGGAGATTTCCCTGATGCCCCGTGGATCCCAAACAAAGAATACTTTTTGGGTCTTAGTAAATTCCTTGGATTCTCCAATTTCATGGGCAATATTTTCAACATCTTATATGGTGAGATTTCTGTGGGCCTGGTGGTGAGAATCCCTAATCTCTAGAATCAAGAAACTAGGATCTAGACTTTCTGAGGGTTAAACACAAAGCAGATTTTCTCCAATGGAAATTTCTCCTGAGATGCCATGGTCAGCATTTCTTAGGGGCTCAGGAGCTTTGAGAGGCTCTAGGGTTCTCAGCCCATCCCTGCTGAATTCACTGGGAGTGGGTGAGATGCCAGCCTGGCTCTTGCACCCTTCCGTGGTGGCTGCCATATTTTCCTTCTCAGGAATCATGGGAAGAAAAACAAGCTGGCAAGAGAAGCCAATTGGCTGTTGTCACTATTAACTCATATATTCTGTATCAGGCAAAACAAAGAAAGAATGAACAATGGTCACCCTCCAGGCCAAAACGGAAGACTCAAAGCTCCTTCCTCACTTGCTGCCAGTGTGGAGATTCATCCCTTCTGGTTGTCTAGCCCAAGGGGCCAGCAGCCTCTCTCACACCGTCCAGTGCACCCACCACAAGCATGTCTTCCTGCCTCTCACACAGACCTATCTTTCCTTCTCTGTGTGACCCACAGCACACTGGGTGGATGTTAACTCTCTTCACAGTTCTCCTTCAAAACTGCCTACAACGTTTGGAATTCATTTTTAAATTCCCTTTAGAGTTTTTCTTTTTCTCTATTTTTAAATTTTATGTATTTGGTTCAGGGTCTCACTGCACAGCTCGAACTCGTAGAGATCCTCCAGTTTTCAGCCTCCCCAGTGCTGGGATTATGGGCATGCACCACCATGCTTAGGCCATCAGCTCACTGCACCCAAGGGTGGGGCTGGAGCAACATATGGTAGCAGAACTCAAAACCCCAGTCCCTGTGCTTGGTTAAGCAGGCGCTTAGGCCACTGAGCTACCTCCCCAGCTCTCCTTTACAATTTTCTCAAGAACTGCTTTAAAGTAGAAATAATGACAATACCATAGCTACGCATCTCTCCAGGACTGAACAATTTCCAAATCACCGCTGTGGCGATCATCACATGGCCATGTCTCATTTCGTAGGTGAGAAAGCAAAACACAAATGCTTACTAATAAAAATTATCATCCCAATGGAGAAGTAAAGGAAGAGGGGATGAACTGCTCTAAATTTTGAGCCCCTGACTATATAGCCAGATGCTTTATATATATTTAGCCTAATTAAATAGAATTTTAATAAAAGATCTATGAGATAGTTCTCACTTTGTCCTCTTTGTAGAAAAGTAGTCTGAAGATCAGAGAGCTTGAGTGACAGGCACAAGGTCCACAGTTACCAAATGGCAGATCTGTGTCCACCACCCTCCTCAGCAGAAGGGCAGTGGCTCTCCTGTACCAGAGCACGTGACTCATAGCAAGAGAGTCTGTGATTCTCAGCTTTTTCTTCTCAGAGTAACAGTCCTGAAATTTAGTGGATGGTCTGATTTTAGAACATTGACTTCCATGTTTTATCCAAAACCTTAAAATTGTCCCAAGCAGCTGCCTCACTGCATACACCTGTAAGCAGGAAACTCTCACCCTAAATTGGGAGCTGGCATTGAGAGCTATGATTAATGACTGTGTCCCATGAGGAAGGGCACATGGCTCAGCTCTTGGTGATGGTCCAGTAGCTGACATTTGAATGCATTTGCTATTAATCTATAAAAACACAAGTTGAAATGGTTCAAGGTTTTATGTTTTAAATTCACTGGCAACATCCAAGCCATGGAAATTGCTGACTGATTTCCCCTGCTGTGTGTAGGTACCTTGACAGTTCCTGCAAAGTGGGAGTCTCCTCTGAGGACTGGTGAAAAATACCCACTAATTATCTTTTCTCATGGTCTTGGAGCATTCAGGTAATGTCTGGAAGGTCAAGCGATTTTATCCTTTACAAGTCACTGAATGTACTTTTCTCCAAAGAAGAGAAAGAGCCAGGGAAATGGCTCAGTAGAATAAGTGCTTCCCTGGCAAGTGCAAGGGTCTGAGTTGAATCCCTGGTTCCACAAAAAACAAAAACAAAAAAACAAAGAACAGAATAGCAGGTGTTAGAATGTCATGCTCACTATTTTCCTGAGGAAGATGAGTTCTGAAAGACCTGGTCTACTGCTTAGTCCCAGTTTGGGCATAAGCAGGTCATGACTGATGGGAGAAGTCCATTTCTTTTCTGGTTTTCCTTCTGCATTATAATTATTTACTCTTGAAAATCATCCTCTATGCTAATTGGGTCTTCCAGGAGACAGCATATGATTGGATGAGCTGTAAAGATATTTATTGAGAGAAATGAAGGTCAAGGAAATGAAGGTAAAGGCAGGGATGGGTGGAGCTTTCAGGAATGGTGTAGGGCTGGAAACCTGGACACAAGATAGGGAAAGGACAAGGAGTCCATAACAAAAGTTGTTAATTATAGAACAGTTCTGAGAAAGATTGTCGGGGCCCCCAACAGAATGAGTGCTTGGCTCAAGTTTAGTATTCAAAAGACTCATCTTATAGGAATGAGGCAGTGTTGTTACCCAACCTGCACATGGTGGGAGTTTGTCACCAAGCAGCTTCCAGCTGATGGTGGAGATGGACACAGAGCAACAGGAGCTGTGTTTGGGTCACCTTTGCCCTCTGCAGAGTGATAACCAAGGGATAAATTTCGATGACAAACCACTCCCTGTCACAGATCTCAGCTGGTGATCTTAAGGCCTTTAGCTGGGAAGAAGGTGGGTAGCAGCCACAGTAAAACATTAACTCAGCTCTTTACTTGTAGTCTGGTCAGCTACTAGGTTTCTTTCAGATTAGCAATTGGCAGGTTGTATTACAGAGCCACATGTGCTGGCCACCTACTTCAATACATGTTTTATTGGGTCACAACACACACGCTTGATTTTACATTGTCTTTGGCTACCTTTCTGCTGTCACAACAGAGCTGAGTGTCTGGGACAGAGGGAAGCATTGACTCTCTGGCCTTCGAGGGGAAAAGCCTGGTGCCCGCTTCCCTCTGCACTGCCCCGTGTCTCCAGCAGTGGATGAATCGTGCTCGGATGCCTCCTTCTAGTCTCTGCAGCCAATTCCTATTATACTCACAATGTGAGAACGAGGCCACGCAAAGGGCAGGCATGCGGGAGGGCCAAGCAGAGCTTGCCGCAGGCTGATTGAGCCATCCTACAACAGCCGGCATGTGCTAAGCATTTCCCCTGCTTCAGACAGGGTGTGTGGTAGTGTCACTGTAATATTCCCTGAGGTAAGTAATTTAAAGGAGGAAAGGTTTACTCCAGCTCACGATTTTAGAGGGTTCAGCCTTTGGCTGCTGCTCCAGTGCTTGTAGGCCTGAGGTGAGGTAGAAACATCACGGCGGAAGGGTGTGGCGGAGGAATATGCTCACTTTACAGCAGTCAGGAAGCAGAGCAGGGAGAGCCAGAGAGGAAGAGATACAGACAAGATGCAGCCCCCAAGCTTCCACTTCACGACTATTTATTTATTTATTTATTGTATTTTAGGGAAGGGTCTACAAGGTGTTCAAGGTCCCACTACTAGATTGGACTCATAGTGATCCACCTGTTTACAGCCTCTCAAGAACTGGGATTACAGGCGCGCACCACCATGCCCAGTCTCAATTGCCATCTCAGCACACCCTGGGGGTGTGGGTCTGGCACGGCAGGCCTGGGGATCGAACCCCTGGCCCCTGCGCCTGCTTGCAGGCGTTTTAATCCACTGAGCTAGTTGGCCGCCACATCACCTTCAGTAGCACCATCACATTATGATTCCTTCAGTGGAGGAACCCACTGAGGAGCTGATATCCTCCTGACCTATGACCTTGCAAAACCCACCTCTAACACTGCTGTTCCAAGAACCACATTTCCGGTGCACTAGCCCCCTGGGGAACAGTTTAGACTCCCAACTCTAACCTACTGCCTCTAGCGAGGAAGGTGGCACAGAAAGGAAGATTATTTTTTAAATCTTTTCACTGTATGTTTTACTCACGATCTTTACTGGAAACCCGGCTTAAACTCACACTACCACCTGAATGCTCCACTGAAGTAAATTTTCCTCCACCAGATAAACTGGCCCATCACCTTTATATACAACCTCACTTCAAGTCTCAGAGCATGGACAAAGTGCAGACAGGTTCTTTGCCAAAATGTAACTCAAATGGCCTCTAGCCCAACTCTCAGTAGGGTTTCATTTGCCTGAGGCCTCTAGAATTGTGGGTCAAAATTATTTTTCCTCCAGTGAGTCTTTCTGGGGTATTTTGTCACACCAAGCAAAGCTGATGTTACAAGCAGGTTACAAGCACTGGTCATGCATCCGAGCCAATGGGGTGGCACGCCCTGTAGCCTCATCTTGGTAGAGAAGGAGTGTAGCAGAGCAAACATAAGTGCCTGTCTGAGTTACACAGCTGGTAATTGAAGAGATCAGGGTTTGAATTCAGGGGTCAGGCTGAAATCTCGCTCTCTGACTCCTGCCTTCCTCCAGGGCTCATCTTGCTACGCCCTTAATGCCCTTCTGTAGGAGAAAACAAACGTTCAGCAATTAACTGCAATCATGGCTGGGAGTTTGCAGTGACAGTATGAAAACCCAAAATTCTCAAAGACAGCATTTATACTCACTCTGCCGGGACTTTGCAACTTTGGTATTATGGTGCCTTCTCCACCTCACAGCGTAGCCAGGGAGTGAGAGAAAAGTGATGGCAGAGCAAGAACAGGCTGAGTGAGGCTGGCGTTTTTCGATCTCTAGTTTTCAAGGCTGATTATTTTCCAGTTAGGTCTTATTTTCAGGGAAACACCATATGTGGGGCCAGCTCATTTCCTGTCTTAGAAGGCTGTCCCATGTATTGGGGGGATTTAGCAGTACCCTCTACTCACCAGAGGCACAAGGTACTGCCCCCCCAGATAAGATCATGAAATCCCCTCCAGACATCATCAAACATCCCCCAAGGGGTAAAGTCAGGCCCCTTTGAGATCCAGAACTCTTTTCTACCACAGGGCATTGACACAGGGTTCTAATGCGCTCTGTGTTCACAATTTTCTTTGCAGATCAGGCTTAGTAATATTGATGCGTCCCTCTCTTTGTTTTGAAGGACAATATACGCTGCCATTGCCATTGAGCTGGCATCCAATGGGTTTGTAGTTGCTGCTGTAGAACACAGGTATGTTTCCTAACGGAGCCCGATTCCTTGGTCAAATACAGAGAGAATGTGGATGCCCATAATTAAGCTTCTGGATGGTGTACACATTTAAACAAACTGTTGATGGAATTTCCAGCTATGATGAGAACAAAAGGGGACTGGATCAGAATGTTGAGACTTAGAAAAACAATATTTCAAGAGTGCTTATTGTACTCTATGGACCTGGCTGGGTGTTTTTCTTATACCTTGTCATTTATTTAGTCTTGATTACAGCGCCAAGAGATTGCTGCCATTACTGTTGTTTAAGGGAGAACAAAGTGAAGGTGAAAAAGGATTTCGTGCCCCAAGTCAGAGGACTAGTAAACAGCATATGGGATGGGATTTCAGAAATGAGTTTTCAGTGTGGTGGACAGTACCTCCCAGAATCGTGAAGACTGGATGAGTTTTTACCCACCAGAGACAATGAACTATTTTCCTAGAGCTTCTCTGGGGTCCTCTTCAATGTAAAATGAGATGTAGAGTGAGAGAAGAAAGAGAAGTGGTACGATCAGGGGAAACTGAGTCAAGCCTGGCGTAGAGGAATGGGGAGGGTCATGGGAGGAAGGAAGTGTGCGCGTGAGCAACCGAGTCTGTTTCTCTTACAGAGATGAATCTGCCTCTGCTACTTACTACTTCCAGGACCAGGCTGCAGCAGAATCAGGGAACAGGTCTTGGATCTACTACAAATCCATAAAAAAAGAGTCACACACGCTGCGAAACCAGCAGGTATGAGGCTGACCGCAGCTGGAGGTGGGGTGGCCTGGTGGCCTGGGGGCAGGGACAAAGAGTGAGCTCTGTGGATCTATGGTGACACAGGGAAAGTGATGCTCCCAGGCCTCATGCTCCCATTCCCGAAAGGGCTGGCAGAAGTCTTAAGAAATCAAAGTCCTTTGTGAAATGGTGGTTCATTGCAAAAGTAAAGGCAAATGCAAGAGTCCTGGGACGTGGGAGTGAAGATTCAGAATCCTCCCGTCCTACAATGTGTAACTTGAGATTCTCAAAATGATAGGTCATAGGTTCCTCCAAGGAAGGCCACAGGTACGGTAAGAAAGACTTGTTTTCAGATAAGCAGCATGTAGTGCTACCGAGTGTGGGCCTCACAGTCCAGCTGTGGTGCTACCGCGTGTGGGCCCCACAGTCCAGCTGTGGTGCTACCGAGTGTGGGCCTCACAGTCCAGCTGTGACACGACAAGGCTCTACCCCTCGGCAGTGCAGCCAACTGGAGAAGGCGACGGCCTTGTGCTTCCATGTTTTACCTCTTAAAGAACAGTGAGTGGTGACAGCATCGGCCTGGCAGGGCTGTGGGGTCATCGCAGGAACCGGAGCACACTGGCTGCTTCTCCGTTGTGGCACATGTCAGGAGGTGTGGTGTTTAAGTTCACCCCCACATCGCTGTGGTAGGTGGTAGTGGAAAATAAATGGAAGCCCAGAGAGGCTGTGTAAGTCATCTACTGTCGTGTGGTAGGAAAGCACCTGAACCAGGATTTGGACTGAACTGCATTTCTCTACAAAGCGGCTTCTGATCACTTTTCACGAAGACATTTCTAGTATTTAACAGACCGACGGCTTTGGCCACAGGCTCTCTCTGAACTTTAGAACAGGAAGGGTCACCATGCTGGACTCTGTCACTTCTTGTAATAACCCTCTAGTTACAGCACCGAAAAAAGGAGTGTTTGCAGGCGCTCAATGTGCTCCTCGACCTTGATGAGGGAAAGCCAGCGAAGAATGTGCTGGATTCGCAGTTTGACCTCCAGCAGCTGAAGGTATGCTGAAAAGAGGCATTTTTCCTTTGATCTGTGTGGCTCTTTGTTGTTTTTCATGGTCTGACTCTGCAAGGTACAGTATGATAAACGGCTGCAACGCATGTACCTGTGCATGCACACACATGCGCACACACACACACACACACACACATGCACACACACATACATGCACACATGCATTCTATGACAAGTTGATAGCAATGAGGAATGCATGCGACTGAACCGGAAATGAAATTGTTAGTAGTTTGGAATTAAAAACTGCCTGTTTCCTTATGGTTTGCCTTAATCCCTCCAAGGAAATTATTGCTCCTCCTTGGAAAGCTCCTGCGTGTTTTTAAACTTCATCTTAAAAAATTAGCTAATGTTTTAGGTACAAAATTTGCAAAGAGGGTGGGGAAATATCAGACAGGGGTGGGGAACGGAGTCGGGGAATGGAGGAGACGCTTGGATGTTGGATGAGATGATGGGAGCTCCCTCAGGGGACAAGAAGGGTGGGCTGTCTGCAGCCGTCCACTCTCTCTCATATCTCTGCCAGGTACTATGGACCCTAGGCCTGATGCAGCCCTCCCTTGACTAACTCCTAACCAACCTTCAACACCTGAGATAGGTACTGCCTCCTTCAAGAAGATGGCCTGGGCCACCTGTGTCCATTCTGGCCTGGGCAGCTGTCCCTCTCCTGGGCCCTGGCTGCTCTATGTGCCCTGCACAAAGCTCCTGTATCACTCCCTCTCCTGCAGTGCTGCTTCAGGGACAATCAAGGTGCAGGAGAGTGACAAGCAGAGTCAGAGAGGGAAGACAATGCTGGCACTGGCAGTTCAGGAAACCGTGATACATATAGATACATAGATATATAGATATAGATAGACATAGATAGATATACTGGGTGCATGTATAGTGTGTACATGTGTGTAAAACATAAAGGTGTGTATGTGTGTATGTGCATTCTATTTTAAAAGAAAACAAGGTACCAAGGTACTTATCCATGCCTGCAAAATACACAGTAATTGAATGATGGACCAGGTCTTTGTTTTTCTAGCACCACCTGAGGGAGGTACGAATGTTTACTGTGCTCTTTCCTACAGGGCACTTTTGATAGGAGTAGAATAGCAATCATGGGACATTCATTCGGAGGAGCAACAACTATGCAGAGCCTTAGTGAAGACAACAGGTTCAGGTAAGAGAACAAGGTGGAGAAAGCTAGAGAACTGTAACTTATTGGAAGAGTGGGAATGATAATAGGCATGGGATTTAGATTTTTAGCAGGGGCCGGGGAGATAATTCACTGATCTAAGCACCTCCCTGCCAAGCACAAGGACCTGGGTTCGACCCCCAGTACCCTATGCTGGGCCAGCCCCACGCAAAGCAGACCACCGAATCTGGGCATAGTGTCCACGCCTGTAATCCCAGCACTGGGGAGGCTGAGACAGGAGAATCACGAGTCCAAGCTGCCTAGCAAGATCCTGTACCAAATAAATAAATAAATAAATAAATAAATAAATGATTTTTTAAAAAAGTTTTATCAAATTCTTAGTGAAGTAGGAATAGGTAGGTTTATTCTTTGCCCTAGAAAGAAACTATCCATTTCTGTTCTTAAAAACTTTCTGGACTCCTATATTTTTTCCTCCGGTATTCTTATTTATCTCCTTTAAGAAGAGTTAACACTTTTGCTCAGAAATTTATACACCTCTTTTCAGTGGCATAACACTTGTGGTGACCGTAATGCCACCATATGGCATTTCCACATTTCTCCAGTGGCCAGGGCACTTTTTATTAACCTCACCGCACACTCCGTCTGTAAAGTGCGGCTGAGTCTAAAGTTACCCAGCTGCCTTGTGGGTCCGTAAGCCGACAGGACCATTTCATCCCTGAACTGAGTTCAGGCTGATGAGAGCCCTAGAGCCCACTGTGTAGAAAGTGAATGGGATCGAGGGTGAAACCTCACCCTGAATTTCTTAGAAATCTGGTTCAGCACAAGGCATTGCTCTTCCTTTAGCCTTGCACACATCAGGCAGATTATCCAAAAGGCCAGAAAACAGAAAAAAACATACTTGTGAAAAGAAAATCAATTCCATTTCCAAATGATGTTTTTCTTTGGCCCTTAGATAGTTTTTCCGGCAAATCACCTTGAACATAGAAAGCAGCGGGTCCCTCTGTGGCTCTTGAAGAGGTATACCACATGCACCGCGGTGCCCCCAAAGCTCTGCTCCATGGGGGAGCCATGAACCTGTCATGCCTTTCCAGAAGCTTCATGGTTTTAAAGAGATGACTACTAACAGAACCAAGACGAATAATAAGGACTATTGAGGAAATATCTCTTTACAGTTGTTTACAATTCTAAACAGGTCCTCAAGAAAACGATTATATAATTCCAGCTTTGCTACCTTATAAAGATAGTGCTGCCCCCCTCATTGCAGCCTGACGCCTCCAAACGCAGCCAGCTATCCCACAACAAGCCGGTGTGACGGCGGGGTGTCCCGTGCACGAGCCGGGGCACAACCTGCCAACTCATGTCTGCAGGTGTGGCATTGCCCTGGATCCGTGGATGCTTCCGCTGGATGAGATCTACTGCACAATCCCTCAGCCCCTCTTTTTGATCGACTCTGAAACCTTCCAGAGAGCAGAGGATCTGGCAGAACAGAGAAAATTCTACCAGTCTGGGGAAGAAAGAAAAATGATTGCCATCCGGTTAGTGTCCGTTACTTATTTCATCGTCTGAAACAGAAACTTGGAATTCGGGATCCATATCAGCAGACGCCTTTGGGTGGCCGTGGCAGGATTGCTAAATTGCTTGTGAAGACTTTCAGTGAGGGGAATGCGAGATGATCCGTGTCTGTGTGTGGTTACACTTACGCCTTTTAAAATGAAATTTGCCTTTATTATGTTAATGTATGCAGTGAGTACACTGCTAACTTCAGCTGGCACCAGGATATACCTACTCTCATCTGAACACATGTATACATTTTGGGAATTGAGATGGAAGGACAAACTATGCCACCATCAGGCCAAGCCAAAAACTCTGAGGTCAAATTATTACGTTAATGTTCTGGGAAAACAAAACAAGACACAAGTTTGTGGATGTCCCAAGCTCTAATGGGGCGTTGTCCTTCTTAACATCTTTATCCAGGATGTTTACCAGGGCAACCAGGATGTGCATGGAACCACAGCATGAGCTGGAGTGGGGTTTCGGGAGACTGAGTTTAGAGGGTGGGAAGGGATCTGGGTGGTTCAGGAGGGGGCTTCAAGGTAGCTCCTCCATCTGCTCACGCTAATTCTAACGCAGAGGCAGCACAGCCCTCCCAGTCACCCGTCAGACCCGACCCCATTGCTAGGCTCTCCCCCAGTGGTTTCCTTCTCTCCTTGTTGGACTCCTGGAAGGTGCAGCCTAGGCGCCTCCTCCCGCACCCCTGCTCAGCCCCAGCCTTGGGTCCAGCTTGCCGAGCTGGCCACTGCCCCCTGTGGCCGGTCTCCCCCTGCCTTTGCCCCCCATGGTTGCTGCTCCCTCTCCTGTGCCCTCCACCCTTCCCTAAAGCCGGGCCTGTTCTCACAGGCTTCTCTCAAGCGCTGCTCAGCACGCTCTCCTGACTCTGTTTACCTTCTTGCTGTTTCCAAAGCTCCAGTTGTGCCTGGAGAGTAGGGAAGAGGGAGTAGGTGCCAGGTGGCCGAGGCCTGGGGCTCAGAGGAGTAAAGGCAGGCTAAGAGGAAGAGCTGCAGGGAGCCACAGCCGGTGGAAGAGCACAGAACTCCCCTGATGCCACATGCGAGCACTTCGGAGCTGACACCCTTGCTCTGAGTTCAGGACCTGTGCTTGCCACATTGCTCTGCCTTACTGGGGACATTCTCAGCTCGTATGCCAGGACGCTTCAAACTGTTTTCTAAAGGGGCAGGAATAGACCCTAAGGTTCCTAAATAACGGCTTTGACCCCCCAGAGTATAAGTTCTGTTTCGTGATGCGCAGTAAATGGGCCAGCCACTCTTTCTTATGCCCTAACTACAAACAATTGTATAAGCCAATGCGCGTGTGAATGTTTTCGTTTCTCTTTCAGGGGTTCAGTCCATCACAATTTTGCGGACTTCACTTTTGTCACTGGCAAAATAATTGGACGGTTACTAACACTGCAAGGAGAGATAGACTCCAAGCTGGCTATGGAGCTCATCAACAAAGCTTCTTTAGCGTTCTTACAGAAATATTTAGGTAAGAAATGCAAAGGTAGGGGGCCGGGGAGATGGTTCAGTAGGATAAGTGCTTGACTGGCAAATGCAAGGATCTGAGTTCAATCCCCGGTTCTGCCAAAAAAAAAAAAGTGAAAGAAATGCAAAGGTTCTCAAGACAGAACTGTGCTGCCCCATCTCCAGTTAGCTAAAGCAGTCAATTTGAAAACAAACAAAAGATTGAGTTAGCACACTGGTCCGGGTGCAGAACCAGGGGTTAGAACTCAGATCCTTGCACTTGCAAGGCAAGCACTTACTCTATTGAGCCATCTCCCCAGCCGGCCCTTTTCTGCATTTCCAATCTCAGCTAACTCAGCCTCCTAGTGCCGCGCGCTCTGTATGATGCTTAGGTCTGTGGCGCCACCTGGAGGCCCCGGGCTGTATAACGCGCTCGCACGGTTCATGCTTATTCCCATTTCCTGCTTTGCAGAACTTGATAAAGATTTTGACCAGTGGGACTCTCTGATGGACGGAGATGATGAGAATCTTATTCCAGAGGCCGGATCGGACACCGTCACCCTATCCACCACTCTGCAGAGCTCTACGGGAGCAGAGAGAGAGAATCTTAGTTAAAGGCATCCTTGAAAATGGCTCCTTGAAAAACCATCTCAGAGAGAGAGGGTGCGTGTGCAGACAGACCTCTGCATTTTCTGAACTCACTCACATTACACTAAAACGTGGGCTATGCTGGCATATAGGCAAAGGCTTGGGTTAAGAAATTTTTTCCTTTAAATGTAAAGAAAGAATAAAATATAAAAAAATCACACCAACCTAAATTGTAATTTTATGAAGATGATCCATCTTTTTCTGTCAAAATTAAAAACTGCTTTTATATTTTAATAGCACCATGCATTAAAATAAAGTAAAATGGCAATAAAAATGTCTTCCTGGCCTAAGATTCCTAAAACATAGAGTAAAAACAGACCTTTTGTCTCTTCTCCTAAGTTATGATCAGTAGACTTTTAGCAACAGAACATTCTAGGTAGAAATGGCAGAGTTCCTCTTTGAATTTTGCCATGATAAAAAAAAATTGGTTGCTAAGAAAGCCATGGCTGGGTGTGTGTGTGTGTGTGTGTGTGTGTGTGTGTTTGGCGGAACCGGGGGTTGAACTCGGGCCTTTGCGCTTGCCAGGCAAGCGATTATTCTACTGAGCCATTGCCCCACCTGTGTGTGTTTTTCTTAAAGAGAATAAAACACCAAAAGGTACAGAATTTCAAAACAAGATGACGGCAAATATCTCAGGGGCCTAAGTGCCTGCCTGGCAAGTGCGAGGTCCCGAGTTTGATTCCCGGTACCGGAGAAAGATGATAGGAAATTAACAATGGTTATTGTATCGCATATTGTTGTCTTCAAAGTAGTGCAAATTTACTGATGGCCATGAAGAGGAGTGGACAAGGGCAAGGAACATTGGGAAAGGGCAGAGGCAGAGAGAGGGGAAGTGGGTAACTCGTGCATTGTTAATGCCTCGTCTCTGCTGCCTTCTACGTACTGAGCAAAGGTACCACCGGTGGTGGTATGCAAGGGCTGAGGAGTCCTGCCCATGAAGGGTAACAAAGGAAACCTTCACAAGTATAATTTTCTTCCTTTCTCCACTATTTATGTTAAAGTATTTTTAACAAATATTTTCAGTTTTTAAAATTCTATTTATAACAGTAGCATAACAGTGAGGTGGCATTTGAAAAACACCTTCTATTGTAGACGCACATCAACCTGGCAGTCCTGGGACGTGTTTTGGTTTCCCATGCTGCCCAGTAGGTCATACATACTTTAGTCTTCAGTTGCCTGTGGCTCCCAGGGCCAAGCAGACGCAGTAGGGGCCTGCTCCGTGTGAGCAGGGCCATCAGTGACAGTTTGTGTCTAGTTGTCCCCCAAAACCTCATGAAGTTAGGGCAGACCTCTAGACTTTGTGATTAATTCATGACCCAGTGCCTGGGATTGTGGGTGTGAGTGCTGCTGGGATTATGGTGTGAGTGCTGCTGGGATTATGGTGTGAGTACTACACCCAACCTGAGGCAGACAGCCTGAATGCGACACAAGGGAGACAGACTCGCTGCCGCCACTGCTCCCGTTTGCTCTTGCTATTTTGCTGTTTTCTGCCGCCATGAACTGCTGCCTTCTGCCGTGTGCCGCTCTGCCTTGAAGCCAGCTGAATATGGACTGAAACCTTCACAAACTGTGAACTGAAAAAACTTTTTCCTTCCTTCATTTTGGGCGTCGGGTATTCGTCCCAGCAATGAGAGAAGCGTAACCAAGACACCACCCACGTGTCCTAAGCGAGCCTGGCTGATGTGCTGGTCTCTAGCACCTTTTCCCGGTGCTAAGCAACAGTGTGTGCTGCTCTGGCGCCACCAGGCTTTTGTACAGCGGTCCCTCACTTATCCCAGAGGTCATGTTCCAGAAGGCCCCCCCCCACAATAAGTGAAAATCAGCAACGTTGTATTTATTTTAGTATTTATATATATTTTAAGGCTTCATAAAACTTTCCCACACTCTTAGAAACCTTTCCCACACTTTAAATAACACTTTTAATGTTCCTAACTACTTTCTAAACTCATAAACTTACTTAAATTTTAACAACATATGTATACTGTATGGTACAATATGTAGTCATCTGCTAAATAAATACAGTAAACAGTGTATTATATTTTAATTTAATGTTCTTTTAATGTTATAATTGATATTTTAAATATATTTTTATATATTTAAAATTTTTAAGGCAACAATAAAACCATAAATACAATGCAGATAAATGCATACAGTACTATATGTACTACTGCAAAATCCTATGATTTAGCAAAAAATCCATGATAAATAATTTAGATTAATATTTTTTGAAAACCCATGAAACCATGAGTCCTTGAAAGTTGAACCTGAAAACAGCCAGGGACTAGTGTAGTGGTTAAAGGTGAAAAACCACTCACTCTCAGAAATCTGACTTTTCCTCCCCTGCAGCCATGCAGAATACAGCCAGTGAGGTGGGGCATCCCAGCCTGGGGCTTGAACCTGATGGTCTCCCACAACCTGCCTGCAGCGCACATCCTTGCCTGTCATCTCTGGAGACTCACAGCCGTATTCCGAATGAGCTGGCCCAGCTTGTCCGCTGATTACCCCAGGAACAGGCAGTGTTTATCACCTCAGTTATATTACAAACCCCTCCACTTCTTGAAACGATATCCAGTTTCTCCATCCTTTTTATTAGTTATTATCTTAATTGCTTTGAGACAAGGTGGCACCAAATTGATAAGCTGCCCCGACTGAGCTCAGCCTCGCAGTCTTTCTGCCTCAGCCTCCCGGAGAGCTGGAATGCCAGGCAGCACTACTACCGCAGCTGGCTCTAACGAGCACATTTTTACAGTCATTTTTGGTTACAAAGGCAGATGCCAAAAGGAAAACATAGCTGAGTAAACATGCCCAATGAGCTCACATTTAAAAAGAAAAAAAAAATTGGAACAGTCTTTTTTCAGGGAAAGACAGAAACATTTGTCAAATGTTTATTCCTTTTCATAAATCATAAATTATTTCTAATCTTAGAAATAGTGCAAGAGCTAGGTGTGGTGGTGGATGCCTATAATCCCAGCACTTGGGAGGCTGAGGCAGGAGAATCATTGTGAGTTTGAGGCCAGCCTCGGGTACACAGTGTGATCCTTCTCAAACATGCACACACACACACACACACACACACACACACACACACAATAACCGAAAACAAAAAAAGCCATAAAAAAGACTGCAAGAAAGGTTTTATCGCAACTGCTTTACAGATAAGGAAGACTGAGGCTGGGAGATAGTGTATCACCCGCCAGGGCCACTCGCCTGGTGAGCAGTGGGCAGCCAGGAGCTGAGTGCTTGCACCACACAGCCCCTCAAGACCGTAGCTTAAGACAAGGGCTTTGCTGTTGCACGAAATGAGATTGTCAAGCTCTGAGCGTCCCTGGCTGGCCTTGGATGAGTTGTTTGACCTCCCTAAAACTCTTCAATGTTCTCCCCTATAAAATATAGATAACATTACTCTGTCCTAAAAGTCGAGGATTAAAAATGGGACAAGGCCTTTGATGTGCAGATTGGTGCCTGAGGGCCAATAGTTAATCCTCCTAAACTTTCCCAAGCCCCAATTACAGAGGAAAGAGCTGGAACCACAGACAGAGGCAGAGAGACCACCAGGCCTTTAAAAGGAAAAACTTTATTATAATCTCATGTCATATAAGCAAACAGAATAATAGTAATAATAATAAACATTTAACTAGAAAGAAAGCAAAACTTCAAAACCCAAATAAAAATTCTGAAAAAGTTACTTCTAACAAAGGCATACAAAGCAGTGTCATGTAACAGACTCGTCACAGGCCTATATTTTTCTATTTGAATATAAACATTTATACAGAAAAAAAATGTCAACAGCTCTTCTTTTGAAGTGGGATATGTTAACAAAATTGTTTAACAACATAAATCCTCCCAGCTGATTAGAAATGTAAAAACAATTAAAGGCAGAAGAAAGATCCCAAATCTGCAAATACAGCAGTCACACTATAAATACACTCTACAGCCAGCACAAAAGGCCTATGTCATTTTCAACACACATCAGTTTGCAAAAGTGACAATATCCTGTGGCGAAGCTCTGCCAGCCTTCTCCGGTACATTTGGTCTGGGTGAGATGTCCCTTATGCATCTGCTTGGGTCCTCAGCAAAACTGAAATCAGCTCCAGACTCCTCTTCTGGGACAAGAAGAGAAATACCTTCATCTGAGAAAGACATATTAAGACAGCAAAATTATTTATGGGACTGCAACCATGATAACTGTAGTGACATCTAAAAACAGGAAGAAGGAAATGAATTTTCTAATTCCTTCCTTCCTTCCTTCTTTCTTTCCTTATTTCTTTCCTCTTTCATGCACCTAGCATCCAAAGAAGCTGACAAACCACTTGTGTTTTTAGAGATTCAGAGTAATGGTTATCATTAAGTCTTAGCGATCCTAACTAAGTTGTGATTTGAAACCTAGCTAAGTCTGGGGAGACAGCCTACCAGCATAAGTGCCTGCTTGGCAAAGCACAAGCTCTTGAGTTCGATCCCCAGTTCTGCAAAAAATTAAAACGTTTAAAAAGCATAGGTTACCTTTAGCTGTAGTGTCATCCAGTGACAGGAAGTAAAGATCTTTTCCCAGTGTTTGGAAGGAAGCCTAGTAAAAAGAATCTTGAGATTATTACCATTTAAAACATTATAAGTAGAGAGTAGTTTAAATCAGAAACAGGACCATAGATAAGCCAGATTTAAAAAAAACAAAACAAAACAAAAAAAAAACATAAGAAGTCTTCCTAGTAACATGGGGCAGTGCAGTTTTACCGTGAAGCCTCGCTGGGTACCTATTTTACTCTTCACCTAGGTGCTCCCCTGCTGGAGGGTACAGAGGGCTCCCACCCCTGGACAAGCTGGGCATTGGGTGGAGGAAGGAGGGACACAACTGCCCATGGTGCCACCACTCAAGTATGCTGTGCCAGGAGCCAGGTGATTGACTTAAGGCTAAGCATGGACAATGGATTCCTCCCACCTGTCTGTATAATTCACAGTACAGTGTGCGGTGCGTAGCGTGGCAGGAAATCTAATGAATGGAATGCTTTCTTAGGGTAAGATGAGATGGCTCAGACTTTAAAATCCTAAGACAATATAATCAGAAAGACACCAAGGGTTTCATATGCCATAAAAAGTTGGGCACAATATAATACTTCATAGTTTCACCTTTAAGTAAAAACTAGCTCATTTATACATGAATAGGCTCCTTGGAGATCTCCCTCAATTCTGAGAAAAGGATCATCTAAATCCCATGAATATAAAAAAGCAAATATTTGAGAGTCTTATTCATAGTTTCTGTACATGTCACAATTGTCTTAAAGTCAGAGTTACATATATA